CTCTCTACCTCCTTTCACTCATCCTATTTAACAGTCAGATCTGAGGACTAATGTCACCTTCTCCAAAAGTGATTTTCACCCTTCCCCAGGCTGGTCAGGGACCTTCTCTGGACACTACACCTCTTTGTGCTTTCCCTCACAACCTATAGAGTGTTAAGTCTGGCTGTGGGCTATCTCCTCCATGAGCTGGGTTGCTCTTTTAAGGCAGCACTTAGATCTGGACCTCAGTGAACCTGTGGAACTGAATTCTCCCTCCCCAGAGGTTGCCAAATCCTGGGTGCCCTGGGCATCATCCCATTATCTGTCCTTTGTCCTGGTCCATAGAGGGCACCCTTCTCACCTCAGCCCTAGGCCCTCTCTGAGCCAGGCTCTGTTGCAGATGGTTCTCCAGGATGAAAATTTTGTCAGTAAAGAAGAGTTCCAGGCAGTGGAGAAGAAACTGGTGGTGAGTAATAGCCTGTTCAGGCTCCCAATCTTCCCTCATTTCCCAAGAGCTGTTTGCTTAGGCAGAGTCATTAAGTGTTGAACTTTGAGAACCTCCAGCCCCTGTAGTGAGGCCAGCATCTTCCTATACCTTGGCTTCTATATGCTCCACTGAGAAAGGGAGCTAGTTAAGAGAGCCTAAGAAATTCATTGTACCTTGGGGTAATGAGTGACTTTTGCTGCAGGAAGAGAAAGCTGCCCATGCCAAGACCAAGGTCCTCCTGGCCAAGGAAGAGGAGAAGTTGCAGTTTGCCCTTGGGGAGGTAGAAGTGCTGTCCAAGCAGCTAGAGAAAGAGAAGCTGGCCTTCGAAAAAGCGTGAGTGGACCTCAGGAGGGGGTGTGGAAGTCAGAGGTCTTGTCTGCCTGCTACTCATCTTATCCTCCCCACCCAGGCTCTCCACTGTCAAGAATAAAGTCCTGCAGGAGTCTAGCAAGAAGGACCAACTCATCACCAAGTGTAATGGTAGGCGGGAGGCCCGCACTGCCCCCCAAGCTAACATATATGGGCTCTTTCCTAACAGCCCAGCATCTGTGCCAAAAGCAAGGTTTCACCCCAACTTCAGTCCCCGGATGAGGATACAGGCAGGCCCACATGGGCCACACCTTCGAAAAGGCCTTCAGGGACCAGGCAGGTCACGGAAATGAGGGAAGCAGTTGGTGTACAATATTCTTCACAGCCATAAAGAAATGGGCTCGCTCCCATTTTTCTGGAAACGTATGACCTCCTTACTCCACCTTTTGTTTTCCCACTTTTGATAAGTATTAGAAATGGTGCACTTTACTCATAACCTTGCCGCAAGAACAATAGGACAAGCACAGTCCCACTGGGGAGCTGTTAGTCTCAGAATCAGGGACTCAGTAGAGGACTGGGGACTATGGTGACATGAAAGCCATGCCTTCTCTCAAGGGTTTAGTCACACCCCTATGGGAATGGGGGCCCAGGATTGCCAGATCTTTGAAAAAGGAATCTAGAAACCAAATTCTAATGGAAGCTTTTCTGACTCGTTAGTGTTGGCCTTTAATTTAAACATTTTAAGAAGCATTGTGTGGACCAAGTGGCTACCAGTTTGCAACGCTGCTGTATACACACACCTGTGGCCATTTGCTGGCTCTCTTGGTGCTTTGAGTTGGGCGGCACTTTTAGAGTCAGCTACCCAGTGTCCCTAGCTGTCAGGAAACCCTTTCATTTTCCTAAATGCTGAACTCCTCTTAACCAGTTTGAGTAGTAGATATGAATTCCATACACAGCACTTGCTTCATTCACTGTAGCATATATCAAGTAGAATAGAGACCATCCCAAACCCAAGCCCAAGCCCTGGTGGGGCTCCCAGTTGGAGCTCAGGGCAGTCCTAACCTACCACTCAGGCCTTCTGTCTCTCCTGGTGAGCATTCTCAAATGTCTTGATCTGGTCAGACAAAGCTGGCTCCTGCCAGAGCCTCCTAAAGCCCAGCAAGTAGTGACTGCCTCCATACCCAAGATGCTGGTACCTTTGTCCTTCTCTCCCTGGGCGTCTGCTCTACATCCCCCACAAAGAACCTGTGGTTCCCTCCGGTAAGGCCAGACACCTTCCCTGTAGAGTATTTCCTACAGGGAAGACCAGTCTAGGTTGCAGGGTTCTGTGTCCAGTTGCATATGTCATGGGGATAGGATCTAGCTGCGTCTCCCCCACCACAATGTCCTGCACCCCTCCACTGTGAGGCTGCAAACTCCCTACTGCCTCCCCTTTTTGGTTTCACTTTAGTTCTGACACTTTGTTTTTCTCAGATTTTTTAACCATTTTCTCATGGGGTGCTCCTGGCTTTTATTTTAAGAGTTACACAGATTTCTAGTTCTTTTCCCAAAAGAACTTTAGAAACAATACAGATTAGCTGGATGATCTTGGTCCTGGTCCTGTCATACAGTAAGCTCATGCATGGTTTCTTCTTTTTTATGGCACTGGGGTTTGAACTCAGGGCCTCACTCTTGCTAGGTAGGTGCTCTACCACTTGAGCCATTCTGCCAGCCTGAGTTCATGTTTTCATTCTCACCTCATCGCCTGTGCCTCTTTTCTCTTTCCATTGACTTAGTGCCAGATCTCTTCTGGAAATCTTCAGTGCATCAGCATTTCTGCATTGTCAGAGCTTGTGTTCTGGTTAATCCTTGTCCAACCTTTATTTATATATTTATTTTGTGGTGCTGAGAAATCAAACCCAGGGCTAGACAAGTACTCTGCCATTGAGCTATATCCCCAGCCTTGCCCAGCATTTAAAGGCAGTGGGAGCAGGCACGAGTGGCTCACGCCTATAATCCTAGCTATTCAGGAGGCAGAGATGGAGGTTCAAAGCCAGCCTGGGCAAATAGTTCATGAGACCCTATCTCAAAACACCCAGTACAAAAAAAGGGCTGGCAGAGTGACTCAAGTGACAGAGCAGATACCTAGCAAATGTGAAGCCCTGAGTTCAAATCCTAGTGCAACCAAAATAAATAAAGGCAGTGGGATTTTCTTCTTGTGTAAATCAGAACTTTCCAGGGCTCCACAAGGGGCAGTTATATAAATGAACCACCGCTAGGTTCTTGCATTTTGATACATCCTTGCATCCATTATGTGCTTAATATGGGGGTACTTTTTGCCACCACTGTCACACTGGGTCCTCCCATCACACTGCAGAATAGGGCCTGCTAAAAGATGAGGAAACAGGTCTGAGAAGGGAAACAAGTAGCCCAAAGTGGTAGCATTGCCTCATCAATATGACCTTTATTGAAATGTAGTCTTGCCCTGTTCTCTGATCTGTTTCAGAGTGTTTTATTTTTTTGTGGTGCAAGGGATCAAACTCAGGGCCTTACATATGCTAGGCCAGGGTTCTACCACTAGCTGAGCCACTCCCAAGCCCTCAGCTTCTGAGGTCAGGGACCTTATCTTCTCCCACACCCCCTGAAGCCCTAGCACAAGCTGGGTATCCCGTTAGTCCTCAGTAGGTCTGGCTAGACTGAGATGTCAGTAGGTCTGGCTAGATTGAGACAGCTGAACTAGGTGATGTTTCGAAGTCCTAAATCCCCAAGGGACATCACCTTTAATCATTCCACAAATAAATTTAGTGTGTACCTACTATATGCCATGCCTTAGGGAAAAAGCAGTGAATAATTCAAAAATCCCTGTCCTTATGGATCTTACATCCTAGGAGTGTAGGAGACAAATGAATAAAATACATTGTATATTAGTACAGAGATAAGGAACAAAGTGCAACAGGAAGAGGAGATAGGAAGTACTGGGAAGGGTTGTAATTTCTAGACTAAGGGTCTTGCTAAAGAGGTGACATCTGTAAAGAGCTGCAGGAGTTGAGGGCAGGAGCTAGTTCATCCTCCTGCTTGAGGAGGGCCACCCACTTCCAAGAACATTTATCTGCCTTCAGCAGGTGAGGTCCAGAATACAATGGTAAAGTCATTGATATAATTATAAGACATTGTCCACCCTCCCAAGACTACATAATAAACTCATTCATGCTAAAGTATTAGCAACTGTTCATAGAGAAGCCCTGGGTGGGGGCAGCCAAGTTCCAAAAAGCCCCATGAGGGAAGGCCCTTAGCTCAGGATGGGGCCCATGGGATGGGAGCCACCCCTCCTCCCTGCCTCTCTCCCCCTCACAGAGATTGAGTCTCACATTATAAAGCAAGAAGATATACTTAATGGCAAAGAGAATGAGATTAAAGAGTTGCAGCAAGTTATCAGCCAGCAGAAACAGATCTTCAGGTGAGGGGCCGGGTCAGGCTGGGGGTTGTTAATGGAAGTGGGGAGCCTGACCTCTGGCCTCTACCCCGGGCTGTCTAGCCTACCACCAGCTGGCTCCATTTCAGGAATCATATGTCTGACTTCCGGATCCAGAAGCAGCAAGAGAACTACATGGCCCAGGTGCTGGACCAGAAACATAAGAGAGCTTCAGGAACACGGCAGTCCCGCAGCCACCAGCATCTTAGGGAAAAATAAAATGCTGATCATCTTCCTGTTCTCTGGCTGTAATGCCCAACTTACTTCTCTGCTCTGAGGAGTTCAGCCCTGCCCTTTTCATCCCTGTGAGTCCCTCACCCCTCCAGGGAAGGGGCCGGAGAAGAGACAGCAATTCTGCCTGCCTTCTAGGTCTTAGTGACCTGAGTCCAAGGCCAAGCCTTGGGCCACCCCCTGCCAGGCCATTTTGGAGCTCAGAAGGGGATGCCTCCAGTCCCTGCTACTTCCCTCCTCCCCTTGGGTAATGGTAGGGTCCATGGAGTAGGGGGCAGCTGTAGTCTAGGGGAGGAACTGGGTCTTTGTTGTCTAATAGTCATAGCCCCTTGCTCTGGGTGTTTAATCCTTTCCTACATAAACAACCCTGGTTACCCCAGTAACATCCCACTCCACTCCTGGTAAATTTAGCTCTCAGGGTGGCCAAAGGACAAGATGGCTCTGTGTGTGTGTGTGTGTGTGTGTGTGTGTGTCTGTCCTGAATCTGGGAAGTCAGCTGTTACCATATAACGTTATACCTATACATCACATTTGCACCTTATTACACCCCCAAACCGAAGCTCACTAGTCTTCACAAATGGAAGGAGGGAAAAATGACAACACTGTTGATTTTTAAGGTGGGGAAGCAGTATGGGAAAGAGCCACGGCTTGCTCAAGTTGCACAGGCAGGAGTGGATGCAATGGACAGGCTATGTCCTTTCAGAAGCCATCACTAGTGTGCCTAGATGGTCATTTGGACACCCATGCAGGGGATCCATAAAGCTGAGTCAGATTTGTCAAGGCTAGCCTCTGTTGGGGTCAGTGTGAGGGTGAGTACAAAGGAGAGGCCACTGTTCTTGCTGCAGGGCTGGCTGAGGCCTGAGTCATAGCAGGACCTTGAAACCAGAAGTTTAAGGACAAAGTGGTGCCCATTGTGATAAGACAATGACAGGTGGTGGCTGCTTCTCCACCAGCACCTGTCCTTGGCAGGAATGAGGGACTTGTGGAGCACAGGGATGTTCTTGCCTGGGGGAAGGGGGCTTTAGGAGAGAACCACACAAAGGAATATTCAGGCCTTGTTCTCATGCTTAGGCAGCTTGTGAAAGCTAGAGCTGTCCACTCCAGCCCCTTCCTATAGGTCTCACTACAAGCAATGGGTCTAGGCAGAACTTTCCTAAGGCCCCAGCAGAACTTTTGAATTTGGGGTAGACATTTAGTGATGCAAAGGGTGTGTGTGTGTGTGTGGTGGGTGGCTCCCTCAGCTAGAGATTAAGAGCTCTAGTCAGCATCCATCAGAGGGCCAGGGAGTGGGGAAGGTTGCCTTACAGTGAGGAGTGGCCCAGGGAGGATGAAATTACTATGAAGACCTGAGTTCCCTGGCCTGAAGGTCGTCGTGGTCCACACCTTGAAGTGCACACTGTAGCGCTTCAGCTCAGGAAGGCCACTGCCGGGCAGGTTCCTCACCTGGGATAGGTGGGGTTGGGCCTAGCTGCTGGTTCCAAAGTTTCCAAAATTGAGCCTGCCCGACCTCTGACCTGTCAGCCAAAACCTGAAGTCCCACTCCAAGCGCTCCGCCAGTGCTGGAGGAGGTTGGCATGGGGGTTAGAGAGGATGGGGTGCAGGGCCCAGGTCTCGCCTGCTGCTATAACCGCTGGCTCAGGAGTGGACGCGGCCGCTTTAAGGCGCTCTGAACCTACGGAATCCTCGGGCGGGGCGGGGACAGTGCAGGCGCCACCAGCGGAGGCACTGCAAGGGAGGTAGTGCTGCGAGGTGTCCGGCCCACCATGCTGACCACGCTCGCCCCGCCAGCCCTGCTTGGGCTCCCAAGGCGGCTGCCTGCGGCCCCCGCACGGCGCCAGGACTCCTCGGGTTCGTCTGGCTCTTACCACACGGCTCCAGCTTCTCCGGAGCCCCCGGACGCTGGGCCGGACGCAGAAGGCCCGGCGAATTGGCTCTGGGTGGCCTCTGGGCGGGGGGCGGGCACGCAGCCTGTCCTGTCCGTCAGCGCCCAGAATAGCCGCCAGCAGCACTGTGCCGGCTCGGGTTTCCCCCGAGGCCCGGGCTCCGACCTGCCGCCACCCCAGCCCCAGCTGCGCATGCTGCCGTCGGGGGAGATGGAAGTCATCTTCGGTGCCGGGCCTCTGTTCAGCCGCGCGGGCACAGAGGATCACGAGGGGCAGCAGCTCAGTGCGCCAGCCTTCAGCGGTCCCTCGCTGCCTGGACCTTCGTCTCCTGCCCCCGTGTCACCGCAATCCCAGCCCCCCGACGGTGGCTCCCGCTGGGCCACCTACCTTCAGGTGCGGCCCCGCGGACCGAGTCCTGCGGCCTCAGCACAGTTCGAGTGTGTGGAGGTGGCGCTGGAAGAGCGCACCGCGCCAGTCAGGCCCCGGACAGTGCCCAAGCGTCAGATAGAACTGCGTCCCCGGCCTCGGAGTCCCTCGCCGGCGGCCGGCGCGCCGCGCCCTCGGCCGCTCTTGCGAACCGGCTCCCTGGACGAATCGCTGGGCCGACTGCAGGCCGCTGCGGGCCTCGTGCAGACGGCACTGGACAGAAAACTCGGCCCCGTGGCCCCTGCCCCAAACGTTACTTTTAGGCCCACAGGGCGGCCAGAACGTAAGACTCAGGAAACGACCCGCAGCACCCGCGTGGTCCTGGAAGAGGCTAAGTCTCGGCCACCCCGTGCACAAGATAGTTTCGTCCCCGCCAGAGCCCCACGACCCTGGCCCAGCCTCCGCGAGCGCGCCATTCGGCGCGACAAGCCCGCGCCCGGGACCGAGCCGCTGGGGCCTGTTAGTTCCAGCATCTTCCTGCAGTCTGAGGAGAAGATCCAAGAAACACGCAACCAGGAACCCAAAACTCGGTTCCCGAGAGAGACTCCGGATCGAACCGTCCAGAAGGCACGTAGTCCACCTTCCCAGGCTAAGGCCCCCAGGGAGGGTCGGAACAGGGCTGTGAGGCCGAGGAGTCCGTCCCTGCCATGGCAGGCTCCAAATGGGGTCGTTCGGGGTCCTCGCTGCCCGTCCCCCCAGAACCTGTCCCAGTGCGATAGGACGGTTTGGAGGGTGAGTAGCCCCACCTTCCCAGAAGCATCCTCCGCGTGGGAAAATCAGAGTGCTGCAGTCGAGGAAACTGTCAGCAGGAGAAGCCCTACTCCTCCAACTCTTGCCCCGTGGGCTCAAGGTATTGCTAGAGCAAGGAGCCCGTCCCCCGAAGCGCCTTCTCCGTGGGAAGTTCCGCATCCGGCAGTCAGGGATGCTGCAGGGCGGGATAGGGGCCCGTCTACTCCAGCCTTGTTCCCAGGGGAGGCACCAGATCGGCCTACTGGAACGCGGAGCCCCTCGCCCCGAGAGACCTGGGGACCTGTAATGCAGAGCTCGCCTACAGCATTTACACGGGAAGCGATGAATGGCGTAGCTCAAGAGTTGGCGCCGCCTACACCACCCGCACCCGGGACTCCAGAACTAACCGAGGTGCACGGTCTGCACACACGGGAGATTCCGGATCTTGCCTTGCGAGGCAGCCCGCCGTCCCCAGAGGTAGATGCACCTGAGCCACCCCGCATCCATCTCGTGAGCATCCTGGGGGACGACGATGCGCGCCCAGAAGCCTTGGGCTCCGGAGAAGCAACTTCTGCACGTCCGCGCGTGGCCATTCCGCGGCCGCGAGACGTGCGCAAGCTAGTGAAGACCACTTACGCTCCAAGCTTTCCGGCTGAAAGCCCAGGCTCCGCGATGCGGGAGCCTACTGCCGACCCCTGCGGGGAGGAGGGCGGGGCACCCAAGACACGAGAGCTCCGGGAGCTGGGGTCCCCTGCCCCGGTTCATTACACTTCAGTTTTTCTCAAGGACTTTCTGCCGGTCGTGCCACACCCCTACGAGTCCCCAGAGCCTCCGGTCCATACAGTCCCCCGGGATGCCTCACAGCCCAATGGGGTCCTGAGGCGGAGAGCAGAGAACAGCACCGCCAAACCCTTCGCGCGCACTGAGATCCGCTTGCCCGGCGCCCTGGCCTTGGGCCGACGGCCCGAGAGAACCCGGGGAGCCGCAGTGCGCCGTCCTGGCGGAGAGAAGCCGGAAGGCGAGGCGCAGCACCTCATCGCAGACGGCGAGGGTCGCACCAGTCCCCTAGGCGGCGCTCGCACCTCCCCCCAAAGGTCCCCAATAGCGCCAGTAGCGACCAGACCACCCCGCCCCGGCTCCCCTCCGGCGCGCCTCAACTCGAGCCCTGGCATCACACCCAAATTGGAGACAACCCCTGTGGCCCTCGAGCCCGAGAATGTCGCCCAGGCGCCCCTCCCGCCAGAGCCCCAGACGTCGGCCGGCAGGACCGCCCAGCCCCATCCCCAGCCCCGCGCTGCCTCGGCGCCTCCTACGGACCGGGTCCCGCAAGGCCTCTCCCAGGGGAGGCGGAGGCTGCCGGGAGCGGCGCACCCGGGGAAGGTCCTGGTGGACCCGGAGAGCGGCCGCTACTACTTTGTGGAGGTGCCGCGGCAGCCGAGGCTGCGGTTGCTCTTCGACCCCGAGAGCGGGCAGTATGTGGAGGTGCTGCTGCCGTCCTCGTCCCCGGCGCCACCCCGGCACGCCTACACCCCGCTGGCCCTGGGGCCCGGCCTCTACCCTCCCGCCTACGGGCCTATCTCTGGCCTCTCCCTGCCCCCGTCCCCGAACCTGCCAGCCCTCGGCAGCCCCCAGCTCCCCTGGGCTTCTGAGGCTGGATCCCTGGACGGGATGTTCTACCTGCCGGTGAGCGGGACCCCCAGCCCTGCTCCACCTCTGCTCCTCTGTGCCCCGCCGTCCAGCTCGGGTCCCATACAGCCCACCAAAGGCTCTGTGTTCCCATTGTGATGCCCGGGGCCTGATCCCCATGGAGTCCCTAGATGGCCTTGGAGGTTCTGGTTTCCAGTCCCCTGCCTTCCTTTCCTCCCATTAACTCTTTCTTTGGTCTGTCCTAGACAGTCAGACCAAAAGTGAACTTAAGCGAATGTATCCGGGACCCCTGGCTGATGGGACTGGAGCTCAGCAAGTGCCTGCCTACTTCCTCTCCCAACAGAAACGCAAATCCCTTCCCCAGCATTCCCAGGGTGTGGTGTGGTGTGTGTGTGTATGCCAGCCAGCCAGCAAACAGGTAAAAGTGGGGAACAGACCCAATAGATGTTGAGGGTTCCCAGGGGCAGCAGGGACAGGGCCACCCCCTAGGTGGTGAGCTGTCTGTCCTCCCTAACACCGGTGCCAGCTGATGTGCGACAGAACAGTGGGCACTGTTGGATGGAGGGAAAGGACTCTGGCCTTCAAAGTTGTTGTTTTGTATTGCTCGAGACAGATCACAGTATATACCCAGCAGGCCACCATAGCACTTGAGATCTTCATGTCTCAGTCTCCAAGTGCTGTGATTACAGGCCTGCGCCAACGAGCCCAATATCAAATGCTGTTCTTTTGAAAGGAGCTGCGCGCGCTCACCTGGGAGGATGTGAGAGAAAATGGTCAGTGTGGCTGCAGGCCACTCAGGGTCTGAGAAAGTGAGCTGTGAGGACAGCAGGTGGAGGTGGAGCAAGGAAGTAATACAGAGACGGGCTATGGACCAGCCTGGAATTGGAGGTGGGAGGACTGGGGTGAGGTGGGGCCTAGGTGGTCATGGTTCCCAGTCGGAAGCTTGGCTTCTCCTTCCTTCCTTTAGCTGAGTCTCTGGTTTCTCAGCTGAGCTGGTTCATGTTGAGGGTAGGACTTCAACAATTCCTACCCAGAGAGGGGACAGGTGAAATGAATCACCAGGAAGTACTTATAAGAGGGAAGATGGGTTGGACTTTTGTCCCAGGGGGGCCTCTTGATCCCTCTGGGTGGCTGGAAGGTGAGTGAGGGCTGGCAGTAAGAGAGATGCCTCTGTGTGGGCTAGGCCAGAGGGTCTTGAAGCTCTAGTTGTGTCCACTCTCCCAGGGACAGATGTGGCAACAATGCCCAGGGATGGGCTAGCAGTGCAGGTTGGTCAGAGCACGGAAAGACCCAGAACCTGTGCTCCAACTACCTTGAGCCTCTGAGAAAGGCTGAAGGAACAAAGGTGGAGGTGTTCTGCATGAGGTGGGAGGTGGTCTGCCTGGAGGCTCTGTGTAGTTCTGAGCCTGAAATGACTAGGCCTTGCTGGACTGGAGAGTGTGTGTTTTGGAAAGGACAGTTCCCCTTAGAAGCAGTGTCAGGGATGAGGATCAATGCCTTCCTTGTTCCCTTGGAGAGCCTAGGTCCCTTGGCGTCTCTGTCCCCTCTCTCTGGACTGGAATCTGACTAGAAGAACCATGAGTCTTCGGGAATATAGAATAATCTTGACATCTCTTGGCCAGAGACACTGGTGCCAACGGTATGGAGGGAGCTGGGGCTACTCCTAGGTGCTTCACCTCATCCTGGTGTGCAATAAATGGCTGACTATGGAACCATGGTGGCTGAAGTAATGACTGATGTAAGGTGCCTAATTTCCTACCGTCTCTTCTATACACCCTCCACAATGCCCTTCCAGGCCTGGTATGGACTGAGTAGAGGGGACCCTAGCCAGGGAAAGAGACCATGTATACTTTCACACACTATGCCTCTGCCTCACCTCATGTAAACTTACCTCCCAGGGAGGCTGGCAACCACACCTATGGTCACAATCTTCCTGGTGACTGAATGGGTTTGGGGGCCTGATCAAGCTGGATTCCCTCACAGCATGGCTCCTCTAGCTGGGTAATTCTTGCTTTCATGTCCTCAGGGGCAGAATGAAGATGTAAGTTCCCAACTGCCTCCTCCCACAAAGTACACAGTACCAGCCACTTCGCCAGGTCACAGCAATGTAAGAGCAATCAGCTCCCATGTGTCCATGCCCAGGCTCAGCCCCTTTTACCTCATTGTTCCCAATCTGTGAAATGGAATTGAGACTGCTGCAGCCTGGGTCCTGTAGAGAGACAGCACACGTGGCATCACCAGGGCCCAGGGGGAGGAGAGAGGATGGGAGGAGTGAGGTGTCAGTTCCCCATTGGTCTGGGCCACAGACAGCACGCACATGCACACTCACATCGGCTCCCCAACCACAGTCCTTGTTTGCTGAGCCAACTCCAGAGGCCATGAAGCTGTCACTGCCACTGTTGTTGCTGTTGGGTGCCTGGGCAGTCCCAGGGGGCCTTGGGGACCGGACCTCGCTCTCGGCGACTGCACCACAACTGGATGATGAGGAGAAATACTCGGTCCACATGCCTGCTCACATGCGCTGTGACGCCTGCAGGGCCGTGGCCTACCAAGTGAGTCCTTCCCTTCGCAGTCCCACAGCCCTTGTGACCCTCCACCTACCTCATATCCCACCACTGGTCTTTGATCCTCAGCCCCCACCACGGAGCATCAAGCCCCAGAGTCAGCCTTCTACACTATTGATATCCCCACCTCACCTGAACTGCCATGCCTCAGTTTACTCATCTGTCTGCCCAACAGAAGGCACACAATCTAGGACACTCCCAAAGAATCTGGAGGCCACAGGGAATCACTCACTTGTCCTCTTCAGATTCTTTCCTGTCTGTACCTCCTCAGGTCTGGACTCCCTCTAAAACTCACGGAGGGTGGGGGGGTCCCTTCATGTATGTGTACGTGGTGCCCACGTGTAGATTGCGTGATTACTGAGTATACGAGTGTCTCGGTGCATACTTGTCCCTGTTCAGCCTGCTTGTGTGCCTGGATGGATCTTGTGTGTGTGGGTATAGGGGTGGGTTATGAATACATGTGTCATTGAAGATTGGGCTACAGTTTTGGTTTTATTTTGCTTTCCTTGGTTTAAAATAACATGTACTACTGGGCAAGTATACCCTGGAGGATATGCCCAGTGCCCAGGCCTAGCCTTCTACTGCAGCATTTCCACCAGATGAGGGAAGTGGACCCTGCCTTCATTGGCTTTGGGGACCAGGGATGGGGGGAGGGGAGGGGAGGTGTCCTGTAGCCTGTCTCACAGGTGTTTCCGGTTCAAACGGCTCCCTTGCCACCTCATTCTCCCCAGACACTTGGGCTCCTGTCCTCCCCTCCTTCCCCCAACTGACCATCAGTCTCCAAAGCCTGGCTCCTTGTCTCTCCTCATTCCAGATGTGGCAACATCTGGCAAAAGCAGAAGCTAAGCTTCATAGTCCAGACTCCAGGGGGCGCCAGGAGCTGAGTGAGTCAGTTTACACAGACGTCCTGGACAGGAGCTGCTCCCAGAGCTGGCAGGAGTGAGTCACCAAAGCAGCCCTAGCCTCCCTCTTCCAGGGGCCAGGGTGCTGAGTGCAGACCCTAACCCTCCCACTCACACGTGCACTGTATGGAGTCTCTGGCCTGAGAGAGGGGCTGGCTGGGATGAAGTCTGGGCTCTGGAACTGGAGCAAGTGGGAGGGTGGATGGTCAGCAGAAAGGTCACTGTGTGGTCTTGGGCCAGGGCTTGCCCTCTCTGAGCTCAGCAAATGCCAGTGTGCCAAGCTTAGTGTGGAAACAGGTCCCTCCCTGCCTGGACTCCCACCAACACCATAACTCATTGCCTCCCTCCCCACTGCCTTCAGCTATGGGGTCCGAGAAGTGAACCAGGTGAAACATCTCATAGGCCCAGGGCTTAGCAAGGAGCCAGAGCCAAGCATCAGCGTGGTGATTACCGGGGGCCTCTGGCCCAGCAGGTAATGACAGGGATGCAAGAGGGTGCTGGTGGGAGCCCTTAGAACCTTAGTTTGTTCCCCACTTCTCGGTGGGGCTGGACAGTCTGAGGCTCTTGCTGGGCTTCCCTAGGCTCTCCACGACATGTATGTACTACCTGGGAGAGTTTGGAGAAGAACGGATCTACGAAGCCCACCAACAAGGCGAAGAGGCTCTGGAAGCACTGCTTTGTAGGGGTGCCCATGCTGCCTGCTCGGAGAAGGCACCAGTCCCAAGGAAAGAGCTCTAATCCATGACTTCTCCTGCCCCTGAGGGGAAGCTGGGGCCTCCCCTGGACTTTCCTCATTCCTCTCTATCAGTGTCTGGAGGGCAGGGGGCCTGGCTCAGTACTGCCACTGTCCTCCCTCTTCTGCTCAGAGGCACTGAGACTGGGAGGGACAAAGTCTTCCTCTCTAGATTCAAATAAAAAAAAACCCAGTGACCTTAAATTGCTCTCTACAAAAGATATTTGGGGGCTGGATGCCGGTGGCTTATACCTGTAATCCTAGCTTCTTGGGAGGCTAGGTTCAGGAAAACCAAAGTTTGGGCAGAAAGTTCATAAGACACTATCTCCAAAAATCACCAGGGCAAAATGGACTGGAAGTGTAACTCAAGCAATACAGCACTGCTTTGCAAGTGCAAAATCAAAGTCCTGAGTTCAAATCCTAGTCCCACCCAAAAAAAAAAAAAGGTGTTTGGGGGTCTGGGAGGACAAACATTGGTGTTTCTGCTGACATCTCACCTACATTGGGCCAAATACACATCACTACGGTTTCCAGAGGTGAGAGAGAGTTGACATGGTTGGAAATGTGAGCATTATGAAGGGTACATGGAACTAGTCCACTGCAAACATAGATTCATCAGGAGGAAAAGAAAATCAAGGGACACTGCAGGCAGCCACCTTGTGGCCATCCGGACATCTACAATCTGTGCTGCTCCTGGAACAAGTCTCCCTGATCAGTCCCAGCATCCCTCTGTACTCTGCCAGCAGTTGATATGATTGATTAGGTCCTGGGTGCGCCCCTGGGACAGGGCAGGGCAGGGCAGGGCTCCCAGAACCAGCTGAGTTAACATCTTGATTCTCATCTGACTTTCTCTAGAAATTCTCCTTCTCCAGAGGCCATGCCCTTGGGAAAGGATCCCTAGGCTCCTGGGTCTGAAAACCTGGAGTCAGGTAGTGCTGCAACTTTAGTTTCCTTTGTGTCACTGATCCACCGATGCCTGGGTAGAACAGAGGCAGAAAGCGAGGCTCCGACAACAAGAAAAGAGCTGCAGACCATTCCCAGACTGAGTAGTGACAAGGTCAGGAGGGGATTCAGACTTTGAGGGTGGGGCAAGGTCGGCTATTGGAGGAATGGGAAAGACCGTTCCCTCCCAGGGCCTGACCATTCCCAGGCCCTGGGAACGCCCCTGGAGCTCCAGTTCTCCACATCCCATCACCTGTCTAAGATCTACCTGATGTCCTGCCTTCCCTAGCCTGAACCCCAGGGACCAGGAGTGCCAGGGCCCAAGGAATCGGCTGAGCTGTCAGGGGTATGAGGTGTGGGTCTGGGAGGGGGCCTGGGATGAGGACCTGAATGATTCTGTGTTTATGTAGAGTGACTTGGAGACTGTATCAGAGTCTGGGTGCTGTGGGCCCATTTGGGTTTCCAGGCAACTTGGGTCATGTGCAACTTCCCCATCTATGGGTGAGGTCTGGGTTGAATCGTGTGATGTGAATTGTGTGATGAATTATGAATTGGGTTGAATTGTGAGGTTCACGATTCAATTGTGGGTGAGGTTTGGGTGAATTGAACTGTGTCTAGGGGTGGGGTCCAGCCCCACTGCCCCCTGCAGAGCACTGGGAGGTGGGGGCAGAGGCAAATGCTGAGGAATTGCAGAGGCTCCAAACAGGTTAGAAGACTTTAAGGACCTGAGAGCCAAGAGGGAAAGGAGAGGACAGATGAACAGAGGAAGGAGCCAGGCTCAAAGTTGTGGCATGAAGCTGCTGGAGAGCCATGCTGCCTGTGACTTCAGCCTGGCCTGTGTCCCACCTGGTCATGGGCACAGCAAACTCAGAAGTAGGTAGGCCATGAAGTGGCCAGGTAACCCAGAGGGAAGCAGGTGGGATCCCAGGTCTAACTCTCACCAGCTGAGGAGCTGAGCTGTACCTCAGGCCCTTGGTTCAGTCCAGGCTGGCCTGCTGACAGGGGAGACCGGTTGGACATGGTACTGGCTTCCCGGACTGTGTGACGCGCAGTCACTCAGGGCCCAGTGATTAGAAAGGCCCCACCCTCAGTTGAATGATCTGCTCTCGCCATGTTTTTTGTTTTGTTTTGTTGGTGGCCCTATTATTCTATGTGGAGAGAGATCACAGCTGAGTTTGAAGGCCAACCTCACAGAATTTAATTTTTTTTTTTTTTTTTTTTTGCAGTACTGGGGCTTGAATTCAGAGCCTACACCTTGAGCCACTCCACCAGCCCTTTTTTGTGAAGGGTTTTTCGACATAGGGTCTCTTGACCTATTTGTCTGGGCTAGCTTTGAACCTTGAGCCTCCTGATCTCCTGAGCAGCTAGGACTATAGGCATGAGACACTGGCGCCCAGCAAGGACTGTTTTTCTACCTGCCTGAGTGGCCTTGGTCAAATCATTTTATTTCCTCAATATAAAAGGAGATCCACATGACAGCACAGATGTAAACCTGTGTATCTCTTGCCAATCAATCATTCCTCAGTAAGGAGAATGGTTATGGCAATGATGATAAAGATTAACTTGTTATTCATATAAGCAAGGAAGGGCTTTGTGTGGAGGGTGATTGTGATAAGTACCCATTCCCCCTCCCTTTCCTTGTCAGATTGTCCCCTTCTGTCCCCCGCAACTATGGCAGTCTCTAGGAACACAAGAACTGGTCTCATGCCAGGCTCGGATGCAGGCAGGGAAGGGAATGCTCAGGAGACAAATGTAGCCTAGACTTGGGTGGCCTTTACCACCAAAGCCAGGGTTAATACCTTACCTCTGCCCGATTCCCCTTTCGCAATCCAGAGCTAGGGACCTGGTTACAGATTTACTTCAAACAATGTCTGGTGTGTGGAGTAAAGTCCTTCTTGGCCTTTGTAAAGTCATCCTCTCTTCTCCTTAGGAGCTTCTCACACCTGTGTCCTACAGATGAAGGCTCAGGAGGACCCCGAGGGCCAGATACAGGTGCTGGGGGACTGTGTGGGAACTGGGTGGGGGCAGGCAGGTGAGGGCTGGAGGGCCTATATAGGCCTGTCTGGGTGGGAAGAAACAAAGTTCTGATGAACTTCATAGAAAGTGACAGTCCAGAGCTGAATGTGGCAATTGGGGGATGGGGTGAAGGTGTAGTCTTTAGCTATGGGACTGGCTGACTTGAGCTTGGGGGTCAGTAGGGGCCCAGCCTCCTCCCCAGTGACACCCCTAAGGACCTCCAGGGGGCAGCGGTGGGACCAGAGTGGGCTTATGCACTGTCTTGGCCCCTCCCCTGGTGCCTCCCAGGTCTTCTGACTTAGGGACCCACCCCTGGCTGAATGCATGGGATCTGCGAGCTGTATGGGCGAGTGCAGTGTGTTCATCCCTTCAGGAAGCAATGTGAGATGTGGCCAGGTCAAGTGACCACCAGGCAGACAGACTGTAGGGGAGGGTGGGCACTCCATGCTGCCCACTCAGCCTCTGCGATCGATCATGGGGTGCAGTGGGCTTTGCCTGTTCATCACGCCACCTAAGCTGGTACTCTCTCTGCCCCAGCATGACTCCCCAGGCTCAGCAGGGACTTCCACCAGGGACCCACATTTGTCAAAGCCTTCGGAGCCCCAGTTTGACATGTTGTACAAGATTGAGGACGTGCCACCTTGGTACCTGTGCATCCTGCTGGGCTTCCAGGTGGGCCTCCCTCAGCGCCTCCCCACTCCCAGTTGCACACACCCCAGGGATCCTGGTCCTACCCCAAACCAACAAGGTTATTTCAGGTGAGAGAAAGAGAAACTTAAGGTCAGTACAGCAAGTATCACCAAGCACGGGTGGGAACAGGGAAATGGGATCTGAGAGGGTTGTGGAGTGTTGGTGACAGGGAGGTAAACCCATCTGCAAGAATAACAGGGTGAGGGAGATTAGCACCCCCAAGAGTAGTGAGCAGTAACTCTCTAGGAATCCCTGTGGGGAGTGTCAGTGCAGTGACACACAGGCAGGGTGGCCCAGACTCAGGCCCAGTGAGGCAGGTATGAGGACCTAGGGTACACCTGTTTCTGTGTGAGCTCAGTGGCCCTTGCCTCATGCATTCCTCTGTCACCCTAGCATTACCTGACATGCTTCAGTGGCACCATTGCTGTGCCCTTCCTCTTGGCGGAGGCGCTGTGTGTGGGCCACGACCAGTACATGATCAGTCAGCTCATCGGCACCATCTTCGCATGCGTGGGTGTCACTACTCTTATCCAGACCACACTGGGTATCCGGTGAGCTGCCCGTCCCCATTCACAAGTGTGTGTGGCACATACACACAGGAGTGCACAGGCATGTGCACTGTGACCCATGGGGCAGGAACAGGTGGGCTCAAAAGCTCAGGGGACTTTTATGGAACAAAAAAAATTCAAACCCCCATCTGCTGCTCCTATCCCCAGGCCAACCTTACAGCTAGGCAGCTGGGCCCTTCAATCCAGGGGGTCCTGCTCTGGGGCTCCTCAAAGATAAGGAGTCTGCAGGTGCAAGGGAATGTGCCCTACCCTAAATGCTCAAGACCACCCTCTTCCCTGTCTGCACTCTGAAATGGCCAGCAGGCCTGGGGAGCTCCTAGTCCCATGTGAACATCCCTAGCCTGGGTGGTAAAAAGGATGGTTGTTTGAGTGGTGGGGAAGAGGACAGTGGTGAGCAGAGCACAGACACCAAAGCTGAGCCTTCTGCTCCTCATGGTGGGGAACTGGTGTGCAGCTCCAAGACAAGGGCCAGCTTTTGAGCTGGAGCAGCCATTTGTTTGTTCTTGCCCCCTGGAAATGTTAGACAGTCCTGCCTGGATCTTCAATGACTTTCCTCTGCCCTGCCACTACCCGTGCCCGTGTCTCTGTCTGCTCTCTATGCCCCTTCCTCCCAGTCTCCCTGTCTCTATCCCCACCAACCCTGTCACCCCTGCTGCTCGGCGATTGTCTTTTAGGTTGCCGCTGTTCCAGGCCAGTGCCTTTGCATTTCTGGTTCCAGTCAGAGCCATCCTAGCCCTGGATAGATGGAAATGCCCCCCTGAAGGTGGGCATATTTTGGGGGTCTGGGCTGGAGGAGAGGGGAGGCCCAGGGGCTTGAAGGTCTGGGCAACTGTCTCAAGTTCAGACACCAGGGTATATTCATGGAAGTATCTTCTATCCTACTCTGTCTCTTGTTTGTGTGTACCTGTCTTTGTCCCCAGAGGATATCTATGGTAATTGGAGTCTGCCTCTGAACACCTCTCATATCTGGCAACCTCGGATGAGAGAGGTAGGTAGGAGAGGCCTGAGGAGGGGCTAGATGGGAGTGAAGACCACTGCTCAGTTGTGTGATTCAACTGTTATCCTGATAGTGGACATAGTGACTTATAGCTGATTTTTTGCCCTTTTAGATCCAGGGTGCGATCATGGTGTCCAGCACAGTGGAGGTGGTGATCGGGCTGATGGGGCTGCCTGGAGCCCTGCTCAACTATATAGGGCCTCTCACAGTCACCCCCACTGTCTCCCTCATTGGCCTTTCTGTCTTCCAAGCTGCTGGTGACCGAGCTGGCTCCCACTGGGGCATCTCAGCTTGGTGAGAGGCACCAGACCTGATCCCTGCCTACTCCCTGTACCTGCAACCCTTGCATGTTCTGCCCTCTTTGTCCTGGATCCTGGTACCAGCCTGGCCTACCAGCCACATCTTCCTTTTGCCTCTGTCCTCAGCTCCATTCTCCTGATCATCCTCTTCTCCCAGTACCTGCGCAACCTCACCTTACTGTTCCCTGTGTACCGCTGGGGCAAGGGCCTCACTTTCTTCCGCATCCAGATCTTCAAGATGTTTCCGGTAAAGAACTGGAAGGCGGCTGGGGCTGGGACGCAGACAGGGACTGGTCCTGTGCCCAGGGCAAGGGTATGGACAGCATGGGAGCCTGAGAGATGAGGTGCGGCCAGAGGCTGGAACAGGTGTTGGGGCTGGAGTGTGGATGACAGTGGGGGACTCAAGCGGGGGTCTGGGCTGGAGCTGAGTAGAGACAGGTCAGTGTGGTCAGAGACCTCCAGCCCCTACAGTGCGCCCCTCACCCTACTTGCTTCAGATTGTGCTGGCCATCATGACTGTGTGGCTGCTCTGCTATGTGCTGACCCTGACAGATGTGCTGCCCTCAGACCCAGCAGCCTATGGCTTCCATGCACGAACTGATGCCCGAGGGGACATCATGAGTATTTCTCCCTGGATCCGAATCCCCTACCCAGGTAAGCAACTCCCTCAGATCCCTCTGCCTCCAACTGTACCTGAGAGACCCCTGGTGACCTCAATTCAGTTGACAACACAAATAGCATTAGCCACATATTTATAGCATGCAGAATAGTTTTACTCAGACAATGCCTTACTCCAGGTCCAAATAAGCTCCCATAACTGAGCAGCTCCCATTGCAGCTCAAGACCCCTACCAGCCCCCTTCTGGTTCAAGAACTCCCCTGTCCATTCCCCACGCACCACAGACTCCTCACTGTATCCATCTCCTCTCTTCTCCCAATCCAGGTCAGTGGGGTCTTCCCACAGTGACTGTGGCTGCTGTCCTGGGAATGTTCAGTGCCACACTGGCAGGCATCATTGAATCCATTGGTGATTACTATGCTTGTGCCCGCCTGGCTGGCGCACCACCCCCTCCAGTACATGCTATCAATAGGTATGCTCACTTGCTCTCCCCCACATCTGATCCCTGGGGGGCCACTCAGGGAACAAATGTAGGGATGGGGATGAGTTTTAGAGAAGTAGGCTTGGGCAAGTCACTCACACTTCCTGACCTTGTTTTCCTTGCTTCTGGAATAGGGAGGCCCTTATCACTTACTACATGATTGTTGGGAATAGCTAAGTAGATAAATGGAGTCCCAGGGAAACCACAGTCATTGACAACCTTCCATGTACCAGTTTGTTTGTTTGTTTTGACACTGGGGCTTGAACTAAGAGCCTACACCTTAAGCCACTTCACCAGCCCTTTTCTGTGATGGGTTTGTTCGAGACAGTCTCCCGAACTATTCGCCTGGGCTGGCTTTGAACTGAGAGCCTCCTGATCTCTGCCTCCTGAGGAGCTAGGATTACAGGCATGAGCCACCAGCGCCCAGCTGTGCCAGCATTCCAGTGCTCCTCTCATGCAACCTGATATCCGTTCTGTGAGACAGGGACCCTTATAGCCCCACTGTACAGATGAGGGACATTGAAGCCCACAAGTGCCTAAGGGAGTAAGTGCCAGGGCACTGGAAGTCGCACTGAACTAGCGCTCTTACTACGGCTTCTGACTCCCAGACTTCTCTCTGGTCTGGAGTGTGGAGTACTACGGACCGATAGTGGCAGCCGGCACAGTCTTAGAAGGGCAGGCAGCCGACGTGGGCAACGGAGGACACAAGCTGATGAAGAGGCTGGACCAAGACCCTCATTCACCCTTTCATTACAGGGGCATCTTCATCGAAGGCATCTGTTGCATTATCGCCGGGCTTTTGGGCACAGGCAACGGGTCCACCTCATCCAGTCCCAATATTGGCGTCCTAGGGATTACTAAGGTGCCCCGCGACAAGCCAGAGCAGCACAAAGTCCCATTTGGGTTCCCAGTGTCTCAGGCCCCGCCCCAAAGCCAGTCCCGGCTTTGGCCTAGCCCTGCCCTGTCTTTGAGAGGCTTCGCCCCCGCATCAAGCCCCAGTCCATACGGGCCTAGTGTCTTCGGCAGCCCCGCCCCCGTAACTCCCCCCCCCCGCCGCAGCCCCAGCCCCGCCCCTTTCTTTGCAGGTGGGCAGCCGGCGCGTGGTGCAGTACGGCGCGGCTATCATGCTGGTCCTGGGGACCATCGGCAAGTTCACAGCCCTCTTCGCCTCGCTCCCTGACCCTATTCTGGGGGGCATGTTCTGCACCCTCTTCGGTGAGTGCCCGGCGCGGGCCCGAGGAAGCGGTACGGGTCGCTGAATGGTGGCCTCACCCAGCCGCGCAGCATCTGTAGCGGTTCTCCTGTGCCCGCAGGCATGATTACCGCAGTTGGACTGTCCAACCTGCAGTTCGTAGACATGAACTCCTCCCGCAACCTCTTTGTGCTCGGATTTTCCATGTTCTTCGGACTCACCCTGCCCAATTACCTGGACTCCAACCCCGGCGCCATCAATACAGGTGCCTTCTGGCTGTCGACTGTCTCCGGAGGTGGGGCAGGTGGGTGGGCTCAAGACTGAGCACGCGGGCTGGGAGTGTAGCTCAGTGGTAGAGCGCGTGTCTAGCACGCGCGCGTGCAAGTTCAGTCCCCAGTCCCACAAAACAAAAACCAAACCAATCTCTAAGCACAGCCTCCTCCCTTAGAGGCTCTACACAGGTCGAGCCACAGAGCCTTCCCAACTCTGGGTGTTAATCAGCAGCAGAGTGGCTAATTACTAACTGTCCTTTGCTAAAACACTTTGTGGACAGAAAGTTTTACATGTGCTCATTTAAATTTCATAACACCTCTATAAGACAGACACTGTTATCATCTCCATCTTACAGAGGAGGAACCTGAGGCTCAGAGAGGCTAGGTGGTATGTCCTAAATCAGTAACTGGCAACTGGAATTGAACACAAGGATGGGAAGTACAGATAGGTGCAAGTTAAGCCCTTAACCAAGGTTGCACAAGTGAGAAGTCCCTAAGCTCTAGGCAACATCCATTGGCCCTTGGCCTACTCCACAGGCATTCCTGAAGTGGACCAGATTCTGACTGTGCTGCTGACCACGGAGATGTTTGTGGGCGGGTTCCTTGCTTTCCTACTGGACAACACAGTGCCAGGTATGGGTCAGCTCTGGGAGGGAAGGCAGAAATAGGCTGGACTCCAGCAACTGGTCCTGTGAATGGTTGTGACTAGATCTGATGCCATGCAGGTCTGCAAGGAGCAGATAGGCTGGTGGAATGCCCATGGCTGGGAGGACAAACAGAGGCAGACATGCCTCCTATGTCTTGAAGAGGGTGAGGCCATGAGAATTATTTCTGGGTCCTGGAAGTAATTTCCTAGACTTTTTTTTTGGTGGTACTAGGGTTTGAACTCAGGACCTTGAACTTGCCAGGCATTCTGCCACTTGTGCCACGTTGCCAGCCCTTTGTTTTAGTTCTTTTCCAAATAGCATCTCACTTTTAGACCCAGGCTAGACTGAATCTCCATTATCTTTTTTTTTTT